GGAGATAAATGTTCCTCAGTATCCATTTATCGTTCTTCCTTCCCTCACCCCCATTTGGGTTGCTTGAGCAATAAATGTCTTCTCTCTCCTGAATTTATGGTAAACTTTTTGTGGCCACGAATTGCATCGAATCCCAAATCTCTTACTCTTTAGGGCTTAATAGATAGAGCGTGCTGCACCCTTGTGATGCTCCATAAATATTGCCGATGGCAGGGATGACATTTCAGTGGTGAATGCCTGTCAAAGAAATGCTATGCAAGAGGGATTTTTATGGACAGCAGCACGGTAATGGAATACAGATCTGCAATGCATCACCAAACATTGACCTAAAACCGAGCAAGGCTGGAAAATTATTGACAAAGCGTGGGCTGCAAACCTCGGAGGAAGCGGTAAGCTCTGAAGTGGACGGATGTCAAGGCCACTCAACATCTCGGCATGGCTGACAAGGTGTGCCGCCCATCTATCAACCAGCCAATCAACATTTACTGAATGCCAGCGAAGAAAAACATGTCATGCTAGATCCTGATACCACACAGGAAGTCGGTTATATCTGTTCTGCATATTAGTGAGGTTCATTAAATGTGCGTGATTTTCTACTTTTTTGCAATTTGGATTACTACTACTACTATATTATTGCTTTGCTCGGCCATCTGTATTTTCCTGCTTGCAAGCTAGGAGGAAATTTACTCCTTTTGCAAATTTCTCAACTGTGTTTCAAATATATCTCTAGAGCTCAGATACTGCATGTAATTATTAAATGGTTCACAGTAGAATAAATACGCTTGCTCTGCTTGAAAAGGAATAATCCTACAAAGTCAAATTTAGCACCGGGCAAGAAATTCTAATATCCCCATCCTCTAAAAGCAGTTCTGCATATGCATGAAGTTTGCTTTCATAAACGGTCCTTGGCTGGGAGTTTTAAATAGGTTCTTGAAGAAATGCACACTTGAAGGTGCTCACGCCCAGAGGAGAGCACCTGAAGAAACCGGCATGCCTTCGTGGCTGCAGAACTGGCCAGAGACTCATGCTGGCACGGCAGTGAACACAGCTCCAGCCAAAGGCAGGTGCTGGCTCAAGACTCCCGGAGCCTCGGGCAGCAACATTCCCTGAGTGCAGTGAGAGAAGGGTCCTCATCTATGCCTCGGGCCCAGTTTCTGACCCAATCACAAAATCTCTCCTCCTTTCTCCTAAAGCCTGCGTGATGCACACCTCTTCCATGAAGCCTTCTTAGAATGCTGCCCCCTGTCCCGGGCTCTAACTCCCAGGCCAGGTGTCCAGGTTACCTCCTGAACGTGTCTGCACCTCCCGCTTCCCCTCCTTCACCTAAATTGTACCCTCAGCCTGGAATATACTCCTTAACTCTACCAGTTACCTTCCTTCAAATCCTAGAGCAAATGCTACCCGTTCAGGGAAGCCTATCTCTGCTTCTCTGGCTAGAGATAATTTTGCATTGTTCCATACTCTCCAAGGCATCTTTGTTATGAGGCGGTGCGTATAATGACCCCCTCATTGGTGTCAAATCCTGTCTCCACCATGTATTAGCTGTATGATCTTGTCCACGTTACTTAGCCTTTCTATGCCTCCATTTTCAAAATGGGGATAGTCCTGATAAGAGTTCTTTCTTTCTTTTTCTAAAATTTCTTTTAATGTTTATTTTTGAGATAGAGAGAGACAGAGTGTGAGTGGGGGAGGGGCAGAGAGCGAGGGAGACATCAGAAGCAGGCTCCAGGCTCTGAGCTGTCAGCACAGACATGCAGCTCGAACCCCATGAACCGTGGGATCATGACCTGAGCCGAAGTCGGACACTCAACCCACTGTGCCCTGATAATAGCTACTTCAAAGGTTTATTATGAGAATTAACTGAATTAATACATGCAAAGCACTTAAAACAGTGCCTTAAACACAGTAACTGCTTAATAAGCTGCTATTTTAGCCCTAGCTACGCTTAGTACTGTGGTGATTTGGGCATCTGTCTCCACTCATAGGACATTTTGCAAGCTCCTCAGAAGCTCGCATATCAAAGCTAATAGTTTCATAAATACCAAACTAAATTATGCCCCATACTTTTTAAATTTACTTCTTATTATGGAAAAAAAAAAAAAACCCCAGAGATCTACAAAAGTAGGCGGAAATCTCATGTACCCATGATAAGCGTTAGCACTTACTAACCCATGACCATTTTATTTTCTGTATTCCTCCACTCATCTCCTTCCTCCTGCCCCAAGCCCTAAGTTATATGGAAGAAAATCCCAGGCAAATATTTCACCCAGAGGGAATTCTGAATAAACTTATCCTACACGCATGGATAGGATGTTATATTCAACTTCTCCTTGGGCCAAGAAGGAATCATCTCCAGGACAGACCCAACTTTTCAGACCACAGGTCCTGCTAGTGGTGTGGGCTTGGACTTTGACCCACTTTCCTTCCATAAGCATTTACAATAATAATTATGTTTCGAGAGACCATGATTTGAACTGGTACCATCCAGTCTTTATAATAACAAGATGGTGGATAAGGATCTTTGAATATGACTTGATCATTGGGAAAAGCCCTATTTATAGGTCAAAGTGGCTCCTGTGTCTTGAGTCAGTGGCTTCCTAATAAGCAAAGATCCTACATGCTTGATTCATTATACTGTGTCTCAGGCAATCGGACACTGGGGAATTTTTACCACCGACAATGAAGAATTGTGTTGCAAGAAGCCCCAATTCGCCCTAGTTAGACGATTTTAGCCAGTTTAAAGTTGAACTTTCAAGAACAAGTTTGCAAATGAAAGTATTTAAAATAGAAGCCAATTCTGTTTGTTTGTTTGTTTGTTTAAAGAATATTCTTACAGCATATCACACAGGGAGACTTGCTTGGGGTGGTCGTGCTGGGTTCAGAAAATGGGCCGTGGTGGGGCGGTGGGGGGAGGGGACCATTGTGTTGGTTATATTTTTGTGCCTGCATCAATCCACCAAAGATTAATTTAGTACCTACTGGCTGTAGAGAGAACAAGTGACACATGTATTGCTCCTGCCCTGCTGTCATGTGGACAACTGGTAAGCAGTCATGTTGAAGCCGGGCACCCCCTCTTGGTCCTCCTCAGTGCAATGTTCCAAACCACCATTACCCGTTAGGTCTTGCCCCTGGCTTAGTGACATCTGTCTGGGGACTTCACATCTCTGTGTCTGAAAAGGGTTTATTTGCTAAGGGTAAGTTAGGAGGTCGGGTTGTAAGTTGTGGAGGGTATGAGACGCTTCATGTCAGAAGTTCTCAGACCTTTGGGATACACCCTCATCTCCTAAGCACACCCTTTCGAACACGACGTGACAATTTTAAAGCTGTCGTAGAAGAAGCTGATGAAGAGTAAATTGTGCTGTTGAACATAGGTAATGATCTTTTTTAAAATGTTGCAAATGTGACTGGTTTTTCTCCTTTCTTCTTTTCTGCATGTTTTGTAATTGCCAAACCCCCAACTCATGTGCCCTTTTGTGTCCCCCAGTCACACTCTGGTCAACTTGCTGACTGTAGGGACAGAGTATAAGTCACCTGGTCTGCCGGGGACCCATGTCTGGCCAGTCTGGCCATCATGCTTTGTGTCTTTTATCATAAAAATGTTGCTTATAAAAGAATGGTACAGTTTGGATTTAAAAACCTGTCTGAAGCTTGGGTTCAAGTGTTGGCTCTGACACATCCTAGTCTGACCAGGGAAGAGACACACGACCTCTCTGAGCCTGTTTCCTTCTCACCGAACAGAGAACGGCAACATTTATTTTGCCTACACACGTTTGCCATGGAAGTGAAAGAAACAAGTAGAGTGATGTACACATATTATTATACCATTAATTGAAGTTCATATGTTCTTATGAACTTTACCCAAGAACATCAATAATAGGGAAGCGCTAGGTTTAAAACCTAGCCGATTTTGAGTAAGCAAGCCACACGACTTTACTTCTCAATATTTCTTGTATGCAATCAACCGTAAAGGCAAGAATTTTACTTGGAGAAAAAAGAGACTGCATGTTTACATGTTTAGTAGCAAAACAGGTGGAAGAAAAGTCACACCTTTGGATGGACCACTGGGTACGTTAACATGGTAGGACGCCAAGCAATGCTTCGAACCTATGGGTTGATGACACTGCATTGCGTATTTGGAAATGGCTAAGAGAATAGATCTTAAAGGACCTCATCACAAGAAAAAATATTTCTTTGGTACTATGCGTGGTGTCAGATGCTAACCAGACTTAATGCAGTGATCATCTTGTGACATATGCAAATATCAAATCACTATGTTGTATACCTGAAATTGATATAATGTCATATGTCGATTGTGCCTCAGTTAAAAAAATACTTCAAACCTTTGCCAATTATGCTTACTGCTCCATTGCAAGGAACTACATGAGCACTTATAAGGTTACAGCAGAAGCATTTTTCCAAAACACGTAGAAACAGAGCAGAGGGCCAAAACTGTTGTCTTCAACAGATCAAGTGGAACGAGCATGTTTTTTATCATCTTATGGTGGGTTGAAAAGGATTTCTTATTATTTCTATTTTCTTTTGTCTTTTTAAAAATGTTTATTTATTTTTGAGAGAGAGACAAAGAGAGACTGAGGGGCAGAGAGAGAGGGAGACATAGAATCCAAAGCAGGCTCCAGGCTCTGAGCTGTCAGCACAGAGCCCAGTGCGGGGCTTGAACTCACAAACCATGAGACCATGACCTGAGCTGAAGTCAGATGCTTAATTGATTGAGTCACCCAGGCGCCCCATCTTCTATCTTTAATAAAGTGGCAAATAACTCCCAACTCATCCAAACAAAATAGTCCAAGACCATTCTAGAGGAACATTGCCATATTAACAAAATCCAAGAATTTAGAGAATGTAGCTATGACGGAGAAAAATCACAGTATGATTTAGGGAAGCACTAAGATTATTTTCCTGGGAATAGCCAAGTTTTCAAAACAGAGTCAAACAAAACCCCCAGATCTAAAGTCAAAGGCAGCCCCCGAGGCCCAGTATACCTGTTGAACCAGTCGTCTGTGTATCGAGGGTAGGGGTAGGGGTCATTGCCGCTGAAGTCATAGCTCGCTTCCGCGTTCTGAAAAACACAAGGCGTCTCATTAGGTCAGTCAAGCCAGATGGACAGGCCAGAGAGGATGCTTCAAGACATGACTGTCTGATGCTTACAGGTCCTCTGTGGAGTGCTGTGTTAATGTTCCTCCCTGGGCCAGCCCTTGCAAAGGGATGACAGAGCTGGTGTGTCCTTGGATCTCTCTGTCCCTCCCTTTATCCTCTTCCCAGACTTCCTCATTCCATTCTGCTTCAGGCCCTCAATGAACTAGCAAATTTGAGTCCTGTGCTCTCCAGGACTGTCTCCATTTTAAGTTGAGTTGCCATCTGTGGGTGAATGGGCTTCACCTAGAATCCAGGACTTATGTTATGCTTCCTTGGCTTGATGGTCAGAATGCTCTCGGTCTTATGTCACAAGTGAGGCAATCTCTGGAGTTTTCTTGCTTTGTGCAGAAGGCTCCCTGCTTCAGACTGACCTAGGCTTGTGTCCTTTATATTTATGGGTGTTAAACCTCTGCCCAAGCCCCTAACAGCAGCACAGTATCAACCTCACTGAGTCACTCAACAAAGGTCAGAGTCTAATATACGCCAGTGATTATGCCAGATATGGGAATGCCCTTGTGTAACTTACAGCCTAGCTGGGGGCGCAGACATCAATCAAATGACCAAACAAATAAATATACAATTATGAACGGGGAGTACTCTACACCCTACAGTATTTGGTTAGAAGTTTAAATTCTATGCATCTAACACCTCCATTTTTCCCCTTGGGA